ACTAGGGTACATTCTCAAGAGAACTGCTTGGGGCATCCAGCGCGGGAGGCTGGTTGAACTGGTTCGCCCAGCGTTCCAATCGTCAGTGAAGGCTGTTTATTAGCGTGCCCTCTACTTCGTAGATTGTTTCACTAACGCACTGTCTTTTTGGGTCTGTAGCACGGATGAGCTGGAATAGTTGCCGGCTGTTTCTACACTTAGCCGCTGATTCTATCTCCTATGCACGTAGTGTCGGCCAGGCTTCTCTGTTGTCTCTCAAACTCTTTGTGAGTTCACGCTTCAGGGAGAGGCGCTGTTCGTTGTACTCGCGGTCTGACAGGGATTACCCGACGCGCGTCGAGAAGTTCGAGAGAGTTGGAGATCCAGTGATTTACGAATCGGCGGGTTAGGTCACAACCGTGTAAACCGGCCAAGTGCATGGTTATCCAGTGTTGATCTACGCTACTTGGCGAGGTAGTAGTTAGCCTTGCGGCCAACTCTTTTTAGTAATCGGCTAGTACGGCCGGGTCAGAAAACTTGACGACATCGAGATGTTTGCATCGCATCTTTTTGTGGCCACCAAAACGCATAGACAACTTGGCACAAACCAGTGCGTGGTCGGAGTCCAAGCAGGTAGACCAATACGAACGGCAGTCTTTCACACATCCTCTCCATCTGTAGCTAATAGCTATATGGTCAATCTGGCTCTACGTCTGTGCCGAAGAGGGGTAACGCCAGGTGGCGAGGTGACGTTTAGAACGTCTGAAGTTCGTGCTAACGAGGAACAGACCGTGTTCTGAGCATATGCTAAGAAGTCTATCCCCATTATCTGAACGACAGCTATCAGCGTCATGACGGCCACCAAGATGGGTTTCATCGGGTGACAGACGGTCAACGCGTGCATTTAAGTCTCCGGCCAGGATCACGATATCCGAATTAGGTGCTTCGAGATGAATCTCATGTATGTTGATGTATGATAGATGTATGTATGTATGATAGAAGGTGTCCTTGACTGTATCCGGGCTGCCATCTGTGGGAGCGTATGCAGAAACCACGAATAAGCATCGTTTATTTGGTTTATGCCTTTTGACTGTACTTGAGCCTCTGAGTCTCACTGCGCATAGTCAGCTATCTATCGGGATCCAATCCAATAAACCAGCCTCGGCCCTGGCACTTAAGGCAATACCAACGCCTGTTTGATCAGAAGTTGAAGCGATAGGGTCCCGGAGA